GATATCAATCAAATCGTATGAGCTCGTCCCTTCATCTTAGCCTCCAACCTACAGAATCCGTACAGAACTACCGAACTGTACGTAGGTTCCTGAAGAACGGGAATTTACATTAATTTTCATGAAAAAACCGGTTACGGGTGGTCCTTGTACAAKGCGCTCCTTTCGTAATTCTTCAAATAAAATAGTTTCCCGTACACCTGACAAAGCAAGGACAAGGAGAAACGAAGAGAATTTTTATATTTTTTTGTTCAATGGGTTCTATTCTCATTGTTTCTAGTTGTTGCAGCAAAGAGATACTAAGAGAATCCTGTCGGTCCTTGTTTCCCTTTGTTTCCCCTTGTTCAAATAAGGAGAAGCAAAGAGAACAATATTACCTGGGCAATGCTATTGCTTCTTATCATTGACTCGTTGATGGGTTTGGTTTGTGACTTTCTTCCTCAAAAACTAACGGAGGGCCCTAGTCAAATTATCATTTGTATTCCTTGTGAAACTAAGGAAAACATCGATCTGACTCTGTCATTTGCGACGGGGAGCGGCGAATCAACCCACTCAGTAAAAAAGACTTGATGACGGTGCTCCTTACTGTACGATACGAGGTTGCTTATTATGAAGAGTGAGTGCAGGTTATTCCCTAGCTACTCCTCGTGCTTGTAATTGATCCTCGTAGTGATTTATCCACACAATCCTAAGCTATATGAAGGCAACATATTGGTACGCCCAGAATACTAAGAGGGATGGGACGAATGCCTGTTCTTGATTCTTGAAAGCTTGTAGTATTTTAGTCCCATTTCTTCTAAACAGGGGCTCCTCAACCCCCGAGTCAAAGTTAGTACTTCCAATACTCATTATTATGATAGGGTTACAGGAAAGCGAGACGCACTTGAAATACTTTCAAGAGAACGACTTGAAGCGAGACACATACGCTGTAGCTACATCCAGAGGCTCATCATAGCAGCAACCATTCCGGACAACGCTAGGATTTGCATGGTTGTCGAATCGACCTCTGCCGTCGACCCACCGGAGGAGGAGGATCCTTCCGCAATGTCTCCCATGCTCGCGTTCTTTTCTCCGGAAGGCGGCATCGCGGCCTTGGCGGGATCGTAGAGGTCTGCGAATCCGGGCTTCAGGTCATCGAGGCTGCTTTCGTCGCCGACGGAGCTGGTTTCTATGACCGTTGGCGCCTCGGTTTCGCCGCCGCTAACATCGGTGTTGAACGGATAGAAGAACGGTTGAGCATTGGGACTTTCGCACTCGCCGGGGTTAGAAATCCTGCCGTTTTCCAGGTTGGAGCAGTCGAAGGCAACGTCGGTATTTGAGCAAGACACGGTAGAGCACGAATTGCACGCGGTGTAGACTTTTTCTCCGTTGGGTTCGTCACCAGGCTCTACTAACGTGATGGCGCAGGAGCCGTCGTCATCGATTTCCACCTCGAGCACCGATCCCGTCAAGGCATCGGAGAGCAATCCCATGTCATCCTCCCCTTCTTCTAACCTTTCCACGAAGTCAAAAGCCCATAAGTATCCACCGACCATAGTAACCGTTCCGTTTGGGAAACCCATAGGCATCGGGGTCGATACGTAGACTACACCAACGCATACCGGCGGTGATTGAAAAGGAATGCATCTCACCCTGTTATCAGTACTTACGGCCGCGTCCACACCACCACGGGAAGGATCGAAGGACAATGCGGCTATAGCTACGGCAGCGGCAAAATGGTTTGCGAAAATCATCGAGCCCTCGTTTCGTCTTTCCCGCAACGTTGTCTCTCGTCACAACGAATATTTAGTTATTGCTTGTGGCAAAAGGAAAGAGAACGGTTGTGTCGGGGAAGAGGCTTCTTGTTGTTTCGTCGGCTACAAGTCGCACAAAATGATGCGTTAGTGAAGGGCGCAACAGAAAACAAGTTGGGGTACGATACAAGACGAACAAGCACGAAGATATTCGAGCTCAAATTTGAAGGAAAGGAGAACGCATGGGGCAGATTGAAGATGTCACCCGTTACATAACCGGTGCGTGTACGGTAGTACATTCCTGGAACAGACTTTTCATGTTTTTTCAAATCCTCGTGTCGTAGTATTCTAAAATCCGTGCAATACGGTACGGTACACGTGCAACACCAAGCTCACAGTACATCCAACGTGAAACGACAAACGACGATGGCAACCAATGTACTCATACGTACGTTACATACGTACGTACTCACAACGCACCTGATCCGATTTCGAAGCAACGAATAACGTAAGGTTGCCACAAAGGTAACAGTAACTGTATCTGTTGAGGACTAACGGAAACAGCAAGAATAAGTTGAATGCACCTCTCTGCTAGCCCTTTCATCCCATCCAAACCACCGAGGGGGTCGAAGTCGTGCTGGATGKTTTTTTTTCGCTTGGCACCGATGCTTCGCTGCTGGTTCTCCGTAGCGGTGGTTGTCCTCCTCTGTTGTGGCGGTGGTGAACACGGACCATTCCGGTTCCAGACGCAGGAAGCGAGAGCTATGGCCCCGGTAGTTCCGGTAGCTCACGCGWTGCGGTTCGATCTCGGTCTTCCGGGGATTGGCAGCGTTTCCTACCGCGACGGACTCCTGCGGATCAAACCCAGCGAGCAGAAGGTTTCCCAGCCGTTGTCGTCGGAWGCATCCGCTGCCGACCAATCGTTGCTGTGGAAGGTTCCCGACAGGGCCTTTTTGGGTCCATCGGCAGCGGCYGATTGGAATGCGGAAGGCGGGGTTTCCATCGAGCACAGGCTCACCGCCGACAAGGGCTACGGCGCCTTTCTGGCACCCTCGCAGGATCCGCTGCCCCCGGGAACCTTTCTGGGGCTCTACGAGGGGGAGCTGCTTTCGTCCCGTTCCGACCTGGACGGGCTCCACGCCTCGAGGAGGCAAGCGGCRAAAAACCCGGACATTGTGGGGGACTACGTCATGTCGCTGGACGGCGGGGGCCACTTTCTCGACGGATACGACCTCCGGTACGATCCCACCAACGARGAGTCGTTTCCCTTCACTCCCGCCCACCTCAACCACGCAAGCAGGGACACACCCGGGTGCAAYGTCGTCCGCAGGCTTGTGTACGTTCCGGACGATCTCCGGGCGCCGGAGRAGGAGGAGTCATGGCTGCGGGAGGAGTACCCTCGGCGTCTCCCTCGGGTGGCCTTTTTTGCGGGGAGGGACATCGCCCCCGGCGAGGAACTCTGTTTCGATTACGGCGACAACTTTTGGTCCGGAAAGGASACATGAGRCTGGCGCACGGASGATRGGAAACGRACGGTCAAAAGCCCGGTGGACCTTATTTGGGTTGGCTACCGTGGGCATTGATCCCCTTGCCCGCACCACTCGGCAAGCCAGAAACAGAGGTAGTGTGGAATGGGCTCAACATCAAGACACTCGGTGCGTCGAGCTTTTGTGMTCTTCAAATCGAGAAAGGACTCAAGCGAAAAGGGAATGAAATGGACACKATACTGCACATGATATGTGGTTCAATTTCCAGCTACCGGAAGCAATCCAGATGGTGCGACTAAGAGCAACTCTATACAGTGTTTCTTTTCTGCAATTAAATCCAAGAATGTCGCTGTTCTYAAGTATGGAAGATACGAATGGATTTGCCGTCCGTTTTCTTTCACGTACTTGAACCTCATACTAAATGAATGAAAGAACGTGGTTTTCGATTAAGATCTTGCATGATAATAGCTAGCTRTGGCCGATAGTTATGTTGGGTTGTTAATCGTCTCTTGCTATTCAACTAGCTACTCTACYAAAATCGTCGAAGACGGATCTTGAACGGTGGGAGAAGCAATGCACGGGGAAGGAGAGGAGAGCCGATGGGGCGGCTCCATTGGGAGGACGTCGGTTGCGTCCTCTTGGGAAAGGGTGCAGAACCGTCGCCGGCAGATTGGGCACGGATTGTCGAGGCCCACAAGCAGGTCGGGGTTGTCTGYGGTGAGGTTGCCACCGCGGCCGCTGCTGGATCGGAATGCGCTGTGCAACTTTCGGACGCTGCGCCTGGCGTTCGAGGCGAGGTAGCGCACCATACAGGTTTTGTGGAATACGTGGCTGCACCCGTRGCCGTCGCGGTTGCCATTGTTGCCAATGTCGCCGCTCGTGTGGTTCCTATTGGGATTTGATTCGGACCAAACGAAGGTTTCGCCTACTTTTAAATCCTCGAAGCAAATGATGCAAGAAGCGGTGGTATGGTCGCTACTATCAATATTGCTCTCGTCAACAATCGATGGCGGCTCCGCGGAGCCTGGTGCCAAGACGGTGTGAGGATCTTCGTCTCTGAGATGGAGATCGGATTCAAGATCGGTCTTTTCGTTCAATATATTAAGATCGCACTGTATGCCAGTCGCACGGCTGCTTTGTACAACGYCGCTCTCATCTCCACAATCRTCTTGTTTAATGACTTCTTGGGATTCAATATCGAYAGAGGAGAGGGGTACMTCGATTGCCCCGAGATTCTTGGYGTTCCTGTTCTCGTACCGACGTTGACTYGGTTTTAGCCGAYGCTGATTTCGGTTGYTATCAAACAGCTTCGAGAACACTAGCTCCCAATCGSCRRGAGAGAGCTTGTTAAGATGGTTCAGCAGCTGTAAATCGTGATTACTGGTGTTGGTTCCCGCATCTGGGGGACTGGGTGGCTCTTGCCCTGCCCTCATAKCGGGATCGTTAGGCAAGCGGCGCAGCCGCGTATCCAGCCAATGCCTCAAGATGAAAAGGGCAATGACTCCGATCGGTACCAGAACGAATTCAATYCACGATCGATTGTTCTCGCCGGTGTCCGCGGGAGAAGAGCTACTGATTGTAGGTGGTTGACGCATGGGTTGTTTGATTTGGTGTTGCTGCTCATGTTGTTGAGCATGATCGTTCTAACCTTGTTGCAGTAGGTTTTTATTCTTCTGTCAAGACTCGTCAAGAATTCTCGATAAAGAGAGACCCGTGGATGTCTCATTTGTTTCGCATTACGTATATCATGAGTGATAAAAATAAAAACAATTCACGGAAATAAAAAAAAGAATCATTCATAATGAGTATCTTCAACCAACGWTAATTCACCACAAATACTGTACGGGATCAAATTCTGTGTTACCATTTACTTCGAAGCATTTAATTCAGCAAAAAGTACGTACTTGTAATCAACATCGGGSAGCGAACTCAAATAATGRTCACAATTCTTCACACGAATAGTTTCTTCATGAGGTATTTACGAACTTCAATTATTTTCTGCGAAAAAAATGTCATTGGACTAGACACACTTCGAGTCGTGAATAGAAATTATTACGTGACTATTGTTAAGTATTGCTGCGAAAGCCCCTCTTTCGTTGATACATAGGGCCTAATAATATATGCCTCAGTCAGATTACAGTATCGATCTTCACAACGTTATGGCGGCTTCAACAATTTAACTCATAACCTTTTGAAAATGTGAGGCTTCATTTCATTTTCTGTTCCTCGTATCGTAAACGGCACAATACTTACGAATGGTAAAGAGTGAGGTAAAGCGTTCCAAAGTAGATAGTGACTTCGAATTTGGTTCCGTTCTGGACACGGCTTAACTATGAAACGATGCAATCCCTGTGTCTTTCATTGAACGATGTGGCTCTTGAACCAAAGAACAGAACTGCAGCCAAGATGCAACCTATTGTAACTCAGTTTATTTAGGCGTTGGGTTTTTTTTTCCTAGCTACTGCTCATTTTGTATTTTTGAAAACATCTCCTGTTACAACCTAATCAGTATTGCTTGAAGTRCTCGGTAAAGATTCTTGGTCCGTCGAGAAATCAAGATCGAGASCTGGCGGCTGCGAATCGTCCTGTAGGACGGCCTTGGCGTCCCCTTCGGCAATTGTGCAAAATCGCTGCCTGCAGATCGGACATGGGTTGTCAAGAATGCAYAGACTGCTGCTGGAGGGAGGAGAGGAAGAGATGACGTTGTCCTGRWGGTCGCTACTGTTGTCKTGGTCTCGTCTTCGTTTTTGAACGCTGCGCTTGGCATTCGAAGCGAGATACCGAACCATGCATGTCTTGTGGAACAGGTGCCKGCATTGTTGYTGTGTAACATGTTGTTGCGTGCCGTGAACGCCGTCCCTGTTGGTTCTATCACTGCTKCCATCGTTCCGCTCGCCATTTKTTTYCGACCAAACAATAGTGTCACCCACTTGAAGATTCTCGAAACAAATGATACATGAGAAGTCATTGTCGTTGCTRCCGTWTMCARCACTCGCCGGTGTTTGCTCCGACGCAAYCCCAGGGTTTTCATTGCAGGTTTCSGAGTTACCATTATAACTGTCGCATCCATCCCTTGCTTCTGGTAGGGACAAGATGGTTGATGGCAACGACGACTCATGGCTGGAGTCTTTTTGATCGCTACCGCAGCCATYATCAATTCYATCCTCGACTYYTTGGGATTCGAGATCCACAAAGGACTCGGGGCTCTTGCTGCGCTTGTTCTTYATTTCCAAGATATTCTCGGGGCTCAAGCGGAGCTGCGTTTCATTATCCTCAAATACSTTCGAAAACAATTTTTCCCAATCTGCGATGGAGAGCTTTTTGAGACCTTCGACTAGTCGCCGATCATGGCAATCGTTGTTGCTACCGTCGTCGTTTCTGCTGCCGTTCCTGTTCTCGATCATTTTTCGGCAACGCTTGTCCATCCATATTTTGAAGAGGAAAAGGGCCGAGAGCSCGATCGGTATGACAACGAATTTGATCCAAAGCTTATCCTCGTTGTTCTCGCTCATGTCTGAAGAATCGCTACTMATTTTGTTGTGGTTGATTTTCAGAAGAGTTRTGGTTTTTTCYTTCTTGGTTTGGCAGCCGTGGAGTTTGCAGTTTTGTGGTSTTTGTGCGTTCACTGTTTCGGTTTTCTCGTTTAYGCGAGATTCATTGCATCGTAGTACCGTACGTCAYAAGYGATAGTCGGAACGTGATGTAATTAATTATTGATCATTGTTATTGGATGATTTGAAATGAGTTTCTGGTCGTAAATTTGTAACATACGACTACCTCCGGAGGTATCTTCGAGATTCAAAATGTAAGTCGGTACATTCAATGAACACTTGCTACTACTTATCAAAGAATGAATTGAAAAGAGTGGTATAATGTTTCGCTTTATTGTTTGGGGAAACAATCTTTCGAATTCGAATGTTGTCACTTGACATGCATGAGTGCCAATGACGATGACAACACCTAAGCATAATTAATATCTTTTGTTTTGACCGTTGGAAACACCAACCCTGAGAACACATGAGACGATCGCGTCCACTCCGAWAAAACTTCTTCCACTCCTTTTCAAAACGTATGTGAGGACCAACCGATAAGCAAGAGTCAAAAAACAATACCACCACTTCAGACATGTATGAAGACAATTGCCCTGATCARACCAGGTAGAACTTTGAGATTAAATTACTACAGGGAAGTTCGTACTCAATTACGTAAGATTTTTCTTTCGAAACTGCCGGAATTCTGCCATGGATGTCGCTCTCGCTTCACTTCATCCTTCGCGGGCGGCCTGTGGTGTCATACGGTACTACCGGCATCACGAGGGTGCTCCTGGAAGCAATCCGGACGTGCTACCGATACATTCTCGAAGCAAAACCAATGRATACTTCTATTCGGATGGACGACGAAAAACTGCTCGTTTTCGTTTCGGCAGTTCACGCAATACGGTGTTCGTACAGGTATCTCTATGAATCACACTGTAAAAAGGTTGATCCTTTGCTCTGTACCGTACAGCACCGAATTCTTAAGTGTTGCAAGAAGAAGAACGGGAACAAGARCATTGCGTCGGATTGAAGCAACAGTGACCCGTTGCTTGGGGGGAAAGACAGAACGAAGCACATGTTGTAGTGGCATCAACTACTACGACTAGTACGATTGCGACCGGAACAATCGCATTCACCAAACCACTTGCAGGCGTGCCGATAGCGGCATCGTATCGTACGGTAACTAGTACGGTACCGACAGAGAGATGCGTGAACAACTGCTCCGGAGTGCGACTCGTATTTCTTTGTGCTGTACTTTTTCCTTCTCGTCGTTTCGCTGCCACAAGAACTTGCTCCCATCGTGAAAGAATCTGTTTCCCCCCCCTAGAAACAGCCAGAGTCTTTCACCACCCAATCAATGGTCTCGTCGTCGCAGCGGTGGGAGCTTGTTGATGCGCCGTRCGAGACCCGGTATCGCACGGTACATTACCAACAGAGAGATGCGTTCACAACTGCTCCGGAGTGCGTGCGGTACTTCTTTGTGCTGTCACCTGCAAAGGCCGCGGCACCGTACCGTAGCACCGTTTCGTTCTCGTCGTTTCGCTGCCACCAAAACTTGTTCCCATGGTGAAACAAACCATCTGTTCCGCCCCTAGTAAAAAACCCGAGCGGCCCCGTGCCGAGTGGTGCAACACACACGGCCAGAGTCTTTCACCACCCAATCAATGGTCTAGTCGTTGCAGCGGTGGGAGCTGATGCACCGTACGAGACCCGTGCCGTCGGAGGTGCGATCCTCGCACTTTGGTTCGCGGTTCTGGGTGTTGTGTTGTGTTGTATAAAATGTAGTATTATTTGTTAGTACAAGTATCTAGTAGTATTGGAAGACTTCGGTGCGGTGCGGTGCCACAGAGACGATTGCTATCACGGCATGGGTCGCGGTTTCGTTTTGCAATCCAATCCAATCGACACCGGCGCTGTTCTGTTCCGTTCCGTTCTGTTCTGTTCCGTTCCGTTCCGTTCTTGCCTAGAGGACGAGGTACTTGGACAGAACCAGATCCGTCGGGCCGATCGAGGCCAGCCCGAGTATCCTCGTGCAGGCCCAGCCGCTGAGGATGGGAATGGCGATGTTGTCGTCCAGGTGGAAGGGCGGAACGCGGACGCCGCAGACGGTTTTCGGCAGGGTGAGGGCCGGCGTCGGAACCATGAGGTCGGCCAGGGCCCCCGCCAGTCCCAGGGCAAGGGAGATGGCCAGAACGGTCGGCTTTGCAATGGGCCCRRCGGTGTTCTTGACCGCCGCCAGCGACAGCAGCCGGTAGTTGAGGGGCACGCAGCAGATGGCTCCRCCCARGAATCCCAGGATGCCCTTGTTTCGGCCGAGTCCGAAAAATCCGTTGTTGATSCGGCTCCAATAGACGTGGCGGGTGGCCCGGCCRAAGAAGCTGGCGGTGGGGTCCGCAATGGCCAGCTGGCAAATCCCGAGTGTTGCGCACGATTTGGGAAAGAGAAAGGCGGTGATCGTGACCCCMCCGAAATAATACATGCCTCCGGTAAACTTGCCGTCCATCTCGTTTTTGCGGAGGGCCTTTCCGAGGAAAAAATGGAGGAGATTGTTCATCCATTCGAATCCCTTGCGGTACCTCAACAGCTCGAYGGTCAGGTTTAGGCCCGTGAAGAAGGTCATGCCGGGCAAAAAGATTCGGCGGGGAATAAAGTGATTGCACGATGCAAAGAGCATCCCCCAAGAGAAGTGCAAGAACTTTCGGCGTTTGTTGGTGGCGTTTCGGTTCTGGATTTGGATGTGGATACAGTAATTCATTCCATCATTTGTTCATCCAGTTTTTCATTCGTTGGATTGTGTTGCGTAGTTTTGCGTTGCGTTGCGTTGCGTCGTGACGGGACGTGTCGTGTCGTGTCGCGTCATGTTTTGTCATGTTTGCGATTTCAAATTAAAATTTGCGAGCAATCGATAAATGTTCCCAAGTCGTGTTGGGTTTTACAATAGTTTGCAGCGCGGTTGTTCGATGAGCAAATCGCAGATGCATCGAATGATCGTCGATTGGTGTCGCATTTGCATTTCGAATTGGATAGTTATTGGAAACGATTTTTCAGAGGAACAGACGAGAACAACAAGAGAAAGAAGATTTTTGAGATGCCCGAATCGTGTCCGACAAAAAGAAACAAAAAGGTCTCTGTACCTCGAATTAATTGTTTGCGCACCAAGCCCTGCATGGCCGGCCTCTGCTCGACTGCCTCTGCAGCTGCAGCTGCAAATGATGACAAACACAACTACTTTCTCCATACAGTAAACCCGAACGCAACGCAACGCAACGCACCTTGAGCTTCTTGGCAATCTTCTTGTGCTGCTTGATCTCCTTCTTTTTCTCTATCCGTTCCTCCTTGTCCTTTCGTTTCTGCACCTTTTTCTCTTCCTTGGACACAAAGTCGTCGATGGCGGCCACCTGGGCTCCCCCGCTCGTCGCGCTCACGCTCGTCGCCGCGGTCGCTTCGGGAGAGGCAGGGGCTCCCTTGGCCTTGGTCTTGATGTGCCCCCCGGCCAGGGCCATCTCCGCGGCGCTGCTCGTGCCCGTGCCCGAAGAAGACGCCGATGACGATGCGGATGACGATGCGGATGCCGATGCCCCGCCCACGACGGCGTGGATCCTTGCCGCCGCCGGGGTCGGGAGGGCCGAGTGCGCCCCCGGAGGGGTGCCCCCGAGGCCGGAGTCTCCCCCGCGAAGGATGCCTAGGTTCGGGCTTGCCTTCGTGTTCGTGCCCTGCGAAAACACCGATCTTCCAAACAAGGGGAAATGGCTATGGCCGTGGCCGTGGCGCCTCTGCCACGGAGCCGTCGATCGTCCCTCGACGGACAGGAAGACCAGCGCCAGGACCAGCAGGGACGAGGAGAGGAAGGGTATCGATATCATTGCTTTTTTGTGTGTGTGTGTGTGTGTGTGTGTTTGTTCTTGGATTGCGACTGCGACTGCGACTGCGGCTGCGATGGCAATTGCAACGTGCTTTCGGTGAGTGTGGGCGTCGAGAGTTTGGAGTTTGTCTCTTGCCAGAGTGTTGTTGCCAAGGGTACAATAGTACAATTCGTAAGTTGCGTTGCTCGTCGGTGCGTAATGATCTCAAAATGACAACAAGAAGGCACACAAAAAAGGTTCGGTTCTGTTCTGACAGTCCCCCTCCTTTGTTGAACAAGTACGGATCCGGCGTAGAACGCACGCAACTGTTCTTTCGATCGAGCCGAGGAAACAGAACAAGAAAACGAACGACCTGCGCAGCGATAAGTACTGTACAGTAGTATGTAACCGTATCTGCTGGCGTGGATATTCAAAAACCACCCAATGGCATCCGTGCTCGGAAAATGACATTTGGTGACTGTCGTGACGCTCCCGTGACACGGCTCACCTACTGCTAGCCGCTTCAACATGACAGGAGGTGAGTGAGTGAGTGATACTGTACGGTAGGATGTGACCTGCCTGCCCCGAGCGCGTACCCGCAGTACTACTGCTACGCATACTACGCCTACCTTCCTTGCTTCCGCCAACGGAACAATCTGGCGGTTCGGTACGGTACAGTACGGTACAGTACTGTACTATATTGCGGCACAGCATCGTACGTACGTACCTTGCGGCAGGCGCGATTGTTTCCGAATTCAAATACTGTACGTGATAAAGTACTTCACSGGCACGCTACGCACCGCACCGAGCGCATCGCTGCCATTCGCCCGATCCGTCGCAGCAACGCAACGAACCGAGGAGTGCAGAACCAATCGGATGCCTCGTGCGATTTCGTCCGGCAACCGGCGAACCCATTTCGGGAGGCGTACGGACGAGGAACGGCGGGGGACCAACGACGGAATGCATGGAAGCCGCGAAGATACGGCACGTAGTACTGGTACGTACGTACCACAATACAGTATTTGATATTTGTTCCCACCGCACCGATGCCATACCGTACCGTACAATGCGTAGAACAAGTACGTACAGACTGTGCTTCAATACGGAGAGTTTAGTCCTGGCTGCCTGCCCACTGACTACCTAGAGGAGGAATACGGCAACTGTTACCAAGAAACCTGGTTTTGGAAGGAGACGCTGTTGCCGATTTGGATGCACGGATTGCAGAACACCATACGCACCGTCCCTTGCCGCAGAGAAGACCACCGAATCCACTCGACCCGACTCCACTCGACGGAACGAACACCCCCGCTCGAACGAACGAACGCCATGGCCTCCGCCCACTGCAGGTCCCACACGGACGCCTACCGGAACTGCCTGAAAGAGTGCCGGGACTCCGGAAGGTCCAAGACGGCCTCCAAGACCTGCAAGCCGCTGGCGGTGCGGCTCGACGCCTGCCGGGAAGACTGGAGGAAGAAGCACGCCGCGCCAAAAGTCCTTTTGCAGGGGCAAGGGCAAGCGCCACGAGCAAAGACAAAGAAGAAGACAAATACGACGACAAAGAAGAAACAGCACCACCACCCTTCCGGCTTTGACGGAACCCGCGTCCTCCCCCACCCGAGGTGCCGGCCCCTGAGCTGCGACGTCCAGAGGTGCATCGAGTGGAGAAAGGGGGACCAGTCCCTGTGCTTGACCGAGATCCAGAAACTAAAGGCCTGCATGGAGGAAAACGAGGGAACCGTGGCCGCTCCCACCGAGGGGGACAGGGTCTGGAGCGTCTGAACCGAACCGGAACCGAATCGAACCGAATCGTTCCCAACCAAAAAGCAGGGAAAGACCCGGGCGGAGGCTTGGCCGGCCAAGGGATTGGCAGGGAGCGGGGTGCCACACAACACAACACAACGCTCCGCCCCGCCAATCACCAATGACAACCTGCGACGAGAAAAAGAAAGGGATCGATCGATCCTTTGGATGGACCAAACAACCAGAACGACCAACAAAGAGCGGGTTCGGTTCGATGCATCTTTTCTAGCATTCCTCCGCCGCTCGTCCCTTCCTTGGGTATGACATCGAACAGGTGCCGGGAGGACAGAATAGATCAGGCGACAAGCAAACCATCCAGCGGCACCGCACGCGCTCGATTCTTTCGCTCCTCGGTGCCCTGCGCAGAAGTGGGGGCACCGTGGGCCGCATCACAAGGTCACTAACTAACTATCTCTCGGCACCGTACCGTACCGTGCAAGAATGGGTGTTCGGCAAGCAAGCGTAAAAAGACGCAACGGCACCACGATACAATAACAAACTAACGGACAGACACAAATCGTTTTCTAGAAGTTAGAAAGCACCGTATGCATGCAGGAGGATTGTTGTAGTGCAGCGGTGTTCGGCGGTTCCGACTCACGCCACGCGGCCGTAGGAAGACCTCCCGAGGGCCTGCCGCGTCTTCCGGGTGTACCGGGMGATGGCGTCCTCGTCGAGCTTGCCCCGCACGACGGCCTCCTGGCTCGACCGCCGCGTGCACCTCGCGTACAACCTCGACAGGCGCTCGGGGTCGGGGGCCCCCTCGTACCGCTGCAGGTCCTGCTCGTCCAGGACGGTGTCCCAGGCGTCGTTCCGCTTGTCCTGGACCTCCTGAATGCAAAAGTACCGCTCGAGGCCCCGGGTGCAGTAGGTCACGCCGCCGGTGTTCTCTTCCTGGATGGCCCGGATCAGGGCCATGGTCTTGCGCTTGATCGCCTCGTATTCCTCCGGTTGGAACCAGAGGTCTTCGAGCTCGTCCTCCTCCACGAGCTGGGATTGGCACAAAACGCGCTTCACGCGGACCCTTTCGTTGAAATCGATGGAACGCTCCCTAGGAATGGTGGGGGCAGGGGCTCCTTCCGGGTGCTCGGACAAAGCAATCGGTGGCGGAAGCGTGTTTGGATTCCCGATCGGCGATGTTTCCGGCGACGATATCGTTGTGGAGGATGCCTCGGAGACATCCTCGTCCGAGGAACCGTCGTCCGAGCTCACAAAGTTGACGTCTTCTTCGGGAAAGGACGACATGGAAGAAGCCAGACAGGGAGTGATTGTGTCCGAGCTGATGATGCTGCTGACGCTTTCGCTCCTCTCGTTGCCATGGCCGACCCTTTTTTCGTCCCCGACATTGGTTCCATAGGAAGCTTCGTTTCCATCGGCGTTGGCAAAACTGCATTCATTGGAATAGCTCGTGTTGGAACTGCTCCCGCAAAAGCTACCCCCGTACAGATCGCCGGGGTTTATCGATGACGAGGATGTTGGCTCCTGGGAGTCCCCAAGGAGGAGATCGTCCGCGGAATAACTTCCATCGCTCACGATGCTGCAATCGTCGTCGATGCTGCTATTGGAACAGCTGTAGCTGTCAACGGCAGTCACGCTGCCGCTCGAGGCATTCCCGCTCGGATCCGCAGCGTCGGTGTCGTTCTGGGTGGAATCCTCCTTTTGGTTTCCGAGCACTTTCGAATCTACCGCGGACGAACCCTCCGATTGCTCCCGGAGTTTCCTTTGCTGCTCCTCCCTCTTTTGTTTCAGGGCGCTCTTCTTTTTTACGTTGTTCTCGCTGTCGTCTCTCGAAAGAACAGCGGGTGAGTTTCCGATGCCACCCCGCTTCTTGTTTGATTT